GCATGTAGAAATTTTTGAAATGGTGTATCTTTGGCTATGTATATTTTCAAAAAAAAAAAAAAGGTCGAGAAGGGAGAGGGTTGACATGTTGTGGAGTTGTTAACCAATGTCATAAAACAATATGTGTGCTACTGTTTCATGAGAAACTATTTGTTCTGTAAGCCTTCACCTGAAGTACAATTAAAAAAATAAAGTCGGTAATAGAAAGGAAGTAAAGCAGGCAGACAGCCGGTTCCTGAACAACAACGTATCTGGAATTTTATTTTAAAAGGATCTATAGCCCTATTTTGGCGCTGAACTTTTGGAAGAAAGTTTTCAAAGCCAAGTCTGCATTTACAGCTTCATATGGAGTGTTAAATTTAACAGGCTAATCGATCTGAAAGATCACAGCTCCACCCAGGAAGGTCTCAGTGCCTCAAGGACCTCCATTAAGACTGACAAGAGGAGAGCAGCATTTTTCAAGGGTAAGAAGTCCCCCTCGGGGACCTGTTTATGCTGACAACCATGGGTTACTGTGGCTATGAGTCTTGAGAGTAATCTCCACTTTGAGTAACTCTTCGACTGGATTAGATATATGTAGGAGGGAGAGTTAATAAGCAGCAAAGAGATCGTGAATGGTTGGGAAGGTTTCAAAAAGTCAGCGAAATCTGTGGTCAGTCTGTTCAGCATAGGGCTCATAACACAGAACACAATCAACTGTCCATTAATAACGAGGTACTGACCTATACATAATTCCATGACCTACCATGGAAAGCAGAGTATTAATTCTTTATTAGTTATTGGATGAGAAAAGTAGTGAGGCTAACTATCTGAGAACAGTATATGTGACAGTAGTCATGTGTATTAAAATAAAGATGAGAAAAGAAGTTACTAAAGGGCTGATTACGTGAATCCCACGGAGAGGGAACATAATATTTTTTCAGCCAGGGAGTCCACCAACGGCAGAAATTTAAATGTTAGAGGCTCCTAACTGGCAGGGAGTCCCTGGTGGTGCAAACAGTTAACATGCTCGTCTGCTAACCAAATGCTGGAGGTTTGAGTCCACCCAGAGGTGCCTGGAAGAAAGGCCTGGTGATCTACTTCTGAAAAACTCGCCACTGAAAACCCGGTGGAGCACAGTTCTACGCCGACACACATGGGGTCATGAGTCAGTCAACAAGATGGCAGATGGTGTGGATCTCTGCCCGGTGCCTCTGGATCCCTTTGCTGGTTCTGGGTGCTCATCCCCGAGCTTGCTCCTAAGGCTTACACCCGAAACCCTCTTCAGAGGACTGCCTGTGGGCCACCGTGCCCCAGCTCTCAGGGAGCCGTGTGCCTGAGAGCTGACGGCCCTGGTGTGGCCTGGAGTCCATGGCGGACGGGTGCAAGGGGATGGTGGTCCGGCTTCCTGCCTCGGCATGGGCAAACTCTGCAGTGCCGTTTATGTCCCACAGCCCCTGTGAGACCAGGGCTGAGGCTGTGACTTCACTGGAAATCGCACCCTAGCTTGGTTTTCACTCTTTCACTAGCCAGCTTCCCATTTCCTTACTGGTATCTCCTCGACGTAGTTCCATAATCAACCGAACACGAGCGCTTGCCACAGGATCTGCTCTGGGGAACCAGATTTAAGGAGTGAAGGAACAAACCCTTCCTTGCTTTTCTTTATCCTAAGGGTCTGGGACATCCCTTCACCCACTGGTCCTTAAGAGACCAGGAGAGAACACAGTCTGTGTGGCTGCCTCGCATTCTCCCTGCACCACCAGCTTCCCCGGCAAACCAACTCCCTGTCTTCTCAAGTGCAATTCCTAATAGCTGCTATTATTTTTCTGGAATGGTTCTTGTTTATGTCATAAATCATGGTGTCAACTCATAAGACAATGCCCTGTCAGATCAAAATGGGAAGGAATCGAAATAAAGGTACTTAAAAAGTACACCATACGTTGAGAAAATGTTTGAGGATGTCACAAAATATTCCCAATGACTACACATCTATGCAAGTTTATGTGTGTGATGCACACATTTTGTGGTTAAAATTTAGCAACTGGCTGAGGTCCAAAATGAGCAGCAAATGTTCACT